GCACGCTCTGCGCGCCAGGGAGGGGGTGTCCAACGCCGATCCGAGACATCCGCGAGGAATGCCGAAAGCCATGCTCATCACGAGAACGGCGCCCAAGCACCGCACCGTGTATGGACTCCCTTCAGGCCCCGCTCCAGCACGGTACGGTGCATAGCCTGCCGTCGCTCGGACGTCCATTTCCTATGCATTTTTCGGTTTCGTGCGTGTTTTTTTGGATCGATGGTCCAGGATGGTCCTCGATGGTTCTCGCCGAGAAAAAATGCACACGCCCGAGCGATGCCAAGATAGTTTTCCGGCCCCGAGGGCGGAGAAACTGTGCACTGCACCGCACCCTTCCTGGGTCGAGAGGGCTGACGCCACCTCCAGAGACGCCACCGCGGTGCGGTGCCTGCAGGTCGTCCGTACACTCATCCCGCCTCTTCTTCCACCGCAGGCACTGGCGCCGCCGCCGTCGCCGCCGCCGCCGTCGCCGCCGCCGCCGCCGCCGTCGCCGTCGTCGCCGTCGTCGTCGTCGTCGTCGTCGTCGTCGTCGTCGTCGTCGTCGTCGTCGTCGTCGTCGCTGTCGTCGTCGCCATCGTCGTCGTCGCCGTCGTCGTCGTCGTCGGCGGCGTCGTCGTCATCGTCGTCGTCGTCGTCGCCGTCGTCGTCGCTGTCGTCGTCGTCGTCGTCGCCGTCGTCGGCGTCGTCGTCGTCGTCGTCGTCGTCGTCGCCGTCGGCGTCGTCGTCGTCGTCGTCGCCGTCGGCGGCGTCGTCGGCGGCGTCGGCTCCAGCCCCAGCAGGCGCCGCCGCGTCCTCTCCAGCAGGGGGCCCTGGCCGCGGCGGCCGGCGGCCACGTCGAGGAAGGCGGCGCGCAGCTGCGCCCAGCTCGCCTCCCACTCCTCCGGGGCAGCCAGTTGTGCTGGCGCCTCGCGCCCCGCGCTTCGCGAATCTGCTTGCTTCGCGATCTCGCGCCGCCCCCCCTGGGGGAGAAGAGGAGGAGGAGGAGGAGGAGGAGGAGGAGGAGGAGGAGGAGGAGGAGGAGGAGGAGGAGGAGGAGGGAGGAGGGGGAGGGGGAGGAGGAGGAGGAGGAGGAGGAGGAGGAGGAGAGGAGGAGGAGGAGGAGGAGGAGGAGGAGGAGGATGGAGGAGGAGGAGGAGGAGGAGGAGGAGGGAGGAGGAGGAGGAGGAGGAGGAGGAGGAGGAGGAGAAGGAGTCGCGAACCGCGAGTCACGAACAACGTCGCGCCCTCGTGGCGGCCCTTTGTCTCCTCGCTGCGGTAGGCGCTCAGCGGCATGCAGCCTCGCCGCACTGGGCCTCTCGCGTCCACCAGCCTTAGCATTAAGTTGGGCCTGTTCTGTACAGGGGGATTTTGGACGAAACATAAAACATAGTGAAAACATTGCCTAAACTGCTCAAGACTGGTCAAAAAATCCTCCCCTGACGAATTTTTGACTATTTTTCAATGTTCCTCCTGTAGAGGGACAGGCCCAACTTAACCTTAGAAGAAGAAACAACCATATTCACACAGGTCGGTGGAGTTCCGCACAGACTTCTGGGATCCGCCCTGGGACCCCCTGGCGGCGCCTCAGGCACCGCCCCTGGGTCCGCTCCACGCGCCAGGGAGGGGGGCCCAGCGCCGATCCAACAATCCTGCGCGGACCTCCGAAAGTTTATGCTTACGCAGCTTGTTTACCTCGAAGCCTGCGCCACGCGACGAGAGCCTCGTCCAGGTGTGAGCCCTTGAAGCCCAGAGTCGGCAGAGGGGCGCCGAGCCACCTGTTTGCGGGGATGGTGATGAGCAAGTCGAAATCCTTTGACGGGTCCATGCCGAAGGATGGAAGCACCTCGCGCACTGCAGTGCGCAATACCTCCTCGAAGGTCTGACCATCGACGCTCTCGAAATTGCAGCACGTGCCCCTGGCACGAGTTCCACCCAATACGGTGCGAACTCTGCCACACACTTCGGAGAGGGCCAGGTGAGCATCTAGTACTCTCTCCAAGCTGAGATACGTGAGCGACCGAAGGCGGATGAAGTTGATGGCCATGTAGGCGACGTAGCGGTTCTGGCGGCCCGAGTAGCTGTACTTCACCTCCGAGATACCAGTCATGTGCGGCATGCCACCTTGGCTCCTCGAGCCTCGGGGATCTTCTGACCCGCTTCAATCCAGACCCGGGTCAGCAAGAGACCAAAAAACTGCAATGCAGGAAAAAAAAGCTGCAACGCAGGTCTTCGCAAACCCGGGGCAGACAACAGGCGCGGCCGCCCTCGCGGACACGAGCGGCTCGCTGACCCGGGTCAGCCAGAGGGGCTCATCGCAGGATCCTGCAGGATCCGCCGCCCTGGCTGACCCCCGTTTGCATTGACCCCCGTCTCTTGAGCCCCGAGAGCCCTCTTCAGCGGCAGCGCCGGCCGCACCGTCGCATATCGGCACGCCCCTCCTCGGGAGGCGGGGCGCCCGGCTGTGCCGCCGCAGCCTCCGCAGCGGTGGCCCTGCCCAGCGCGCCCCCTTGCCCGGCGCGCCCGCGGCCTCCGCCTCGGAGCTCCCGCCACAGGCCGTGGAGTCCGAGAGCACGCCGGCGCCCTCGTCGCCGTCGCCCCCGGGCTGCACCCAGACCCCCGCTGCCCCGAAGCTCCCCCCGGCGGCGGCCCCAGAGGTCTGGGCCGTTTCGCCCCGCCTGTGGACCCAAGGCCTGCATCCTGAGTAGCTCTTGGACCCAAGGCGCCCCGCTTCACGCCCCGCGCCCCGCGACGCGCGACTCTCTTCGCGCGACTCCTCGCGCCGCCGTCCTGCAGAAGCGCGCCTCTCCAACCCAAGGCCGCGACGCGCGAAGCGCGATGGTCTTCGCGCCCCTGAGGGCGGCCTGGATAAAGTCCGTTTTCTTATCGTTCGCGAGAAGGGCCATGAGCGGCCTGGCCCCCCGCCCCCCCCCCCAGGGTCACGTCGAGGGTTCGCGCTGGCGCCGTCTGGGAATGCGCCACCTTGTCTCTGGGCACGAAGTGGAATGCCCCCGAGGCGCATGCAGCACTGAGAGGACTATGCTGCCGCTGCTGCAGCCAGAACTGCAAGTCTTTAGGGGCCTGGGGTCCGCTGGAATCGCTCGCGTCGGCCCACCCCGCTCAGGAGGGCCCCCAAAACGAGCCTAGATGGCTCCAAGAGGCCTCCAAAATGATCAAAGAGGGCCCCAAGTCGCCCCAAGATCGCTCCAAGACGCCCAACATGGGTTCAAGGCCTCCAAGACGCCACAAGAGGCCTCCCAAGAAGGTCTGTTCGGCTTTCCGACGCTCCAGGACGGCACAAGAGGCCCCCAAGACCACCCCAAGACGGCCCGGGAGGCCTCCAAGAGGGGCCCAAGACGGCCCAAGAGGCGCCCAAGGCGGCCCAAGAGGGCCCCAAGAGGGCCCCGAAAGGGGCCCGATAGAGAGAACACGAACCGAAAATCCGAGCCTTCCGCCCCAAGCGGCCCCCAGGAGGCCCCAAGAGGCGCCCAAGAGGCCCCAAGAGGCAGCCAAAAGACCCAAAAGAAGCCCCAAGAGGCCCCAAAACGGTCCGCAAGAGGCTTGAAAACTGCGTCCAAGAGGCCTCCGAAAAAAAAAAACCACGAGATCCCAGTGAACATCCACTAGGCTTTATACCCACAACGCAAGCACGGTGGCAGGATAGGCCGAAGGCCATTCGATCCGCCGCCCCCTGCTTGCAGGGGTGCACGGCGTGCTGGATGATTCAGGTTTTGGTTTTGGTTCTTTTTCTAAAAGAACTCCCCAGTGGGCTTCGGCCCGTCCCGCCGGCCACCCGCAAATTTCCCAAAATCCATATGTCAATGCCCAAAAACGGCCGTTTCGCTCGGGACATCCTCAAAAAATCGCGAAGATGGCCCAAGATGGCCTCCAAGTCCGCCCGAGATGGTCCAAGACGGCCTCCAAAACGGCCCAAGAGAGTCCAAGACGGCCCAAGACGGCCCAAGAGGCCCCCCAGAGGCCTCCCAGACGGCCCAAGAGGCCTCCAAGAGGTCCTCCAGGAGAGTCCGAAGAGGCCAAAATCATTGATTTTCCCTTGGTTTTTGAAGGATTTTGGCATTTGCGCCTTTTCGGCTCTCCGACGGCTCAAGACGGCCCAAGAAGCCCCCAAGATCGCCCAAGAGGCCCCCAAGAGAGCCCCATGATGGCCCAAGTGGCCTCCAAGATGGCCCCTAGAGGGCCCCAAGAGGGCCCAAGAGGCCTCCAACACGCCCAAGATGGCCTCCCAGACGCCCAAGATGGCCTCCAAGACGGCCCTGGAGCATTCCAAGCGGGCCCCAAGTCGGCCCATAGAGGCCCCCCAAACGGCTTCCGACGGCTTCAGACGTGCCAGGAACCCACCAAGATGGCCGAAGTTGGCTCGAAGCTGGCCCGAGACGGCCCAAAAAGCCCCAAAGATCGCCCAAAGCTTGCCCAAGAGGCCTCCAAGACGGCCAAGATGACCTTCAAGATGCCCACGTGTTCCCCGAAGGCTTTCCAAACCGATTCGGGGAACACGTGGTCCGATAGCTTGGCAGGTCTGGCCTCAACGTTCGGCCACATAGGCGCTTCCAAAAAGGCAGGGGGCGGCGGTGATTCGCCGTAGGCGTCTTCGATAAACCATTCGTAAGCATTCCCATGCGGCGCTGGCGCAAATCGCGCCATGTCCGCCCCCGGTCACGCCTGTTATCGCCAAGGGGCAAAAATTTGCCTGACGAAAGACCCAACCGTATGTAGCTGCGACTACCGCATTGTGGGTACCGCTTTCGGTGGAGCTCCTTACGGGGCCACGAACCGTGTGAGGGGCGTGCCGATTTGGGCGCGGTGGTGCCATGCGAACCCTCCCACTGGAGCCTTCGGTGGAGCATCCTCTAGGGCCACGAACCGTGTAAGGGGGTGTATCGAATTGGGTGCGGTGGTGCCATGCGAACCCTCCCACTGGAGCCTTCAGCGGAACTCCACGAAGCGTGTGAGGGGTGTGCCGAATTGGGTGCAGCGGTGCCGTGCGAACCCTCCCACTGGAGCCTTCGGTGGAGCTCCCCATGGGGCCACGAACCGTGTGAGGGGTGTGCCGAATTGGGCATGCGGTGGGCGGGGAGGGCGAATGCGGACGCGGTCACTGGGGTCTTCGGTGGAGCTCCCTATGAGGCCACGAAGCGTGTGAGGGGTGTGCCGAAATGGGCATGTGGTGGGCGGGGAGGACGCATGCGGACGCGGCCAGTTGGGCCTTCGGTGGAATTTCTTAGGGGACCACGAACGGTGTGAGGGGTGTGCCAGCATGGACATGCGGAGGACGTCGGCAAGGAGGGGGAGGAGGGAGGAAGGAGGAGCGGGAGGAGGGTGAGGAGGAGAGGATATGAATGAGACCCGGAGCGCTGTCTCTTCGAAACGAGGGCCCAACACCACAGGATGGCTGGGAAAAACCATCTCGAGGGCCCCCAACGGCCGAAAACTGCGAACACCGACTTCCGCGCTGCGCTCCTCGAAACGTTGGAGGTCTGGGCAGCTCCGCGCCCTCGCCGCCGCCGCCGGCCCGCGGCGCCAGCGCCGTGGAGCCTCGCGCCTCGCCGCGGCAGAGGGCGAGGATTTTTGGGAGGCCTGGAAATTGGCACCAACACCAGCACAGGGGGTTGCCTCCACATGGGAAGAATGGTCCTAGATTTCGGTGCTGGTGGTAATATTTCGGTCACCTTGGAAGCCAGAATATTATCACCATCACCGAGATCGGGATCGTCTTCCCTCGGTGGAGGCACACCGCCGATCTTGGTGTTGGTGTCAACCTCTAGGCATGCGAGATTTGTTTGTGCTTCTGCACCTGGGCATCGCTCGGACGTCCATTCCAGGTGCAATGTTCGGCTCCGTGCGTGTACTCTTTTTTCCGCAAGATGGCCCAAACGGCTACTCGATAGTCCTCGCCGAGATAAAGTGCACACGCCCGAACGATGCCAAGGCTCTGTTTTGCCATGATTATTCATGGTCCTCTTGGCGGCCAGCCAGGCAGCCGTCGAGACCGATACTTGATGACGAGCTCAGCACAACAAATCATATATGCCGAGCTGCCTGCAGCGAATCTGCAGGCCACTGTTACGGAAAAGACCCCGTGGTCGAGACCAGGAGGCTGTCCACGAGCGAGCTTCAGCCGAAAAGCCACACAACGCTGAGAGCATCCACGCCGAGCCACAAATATTCGCTCTTGGGGTGCTTGCCTGCTGAGATTCGGCTCCAAAAGTTTTTGGACGAGCTGACACAGTGCGGCTTCGTGAGATACCGTACATACCCGCCAAGTCGAGAAACAAAACGTTGCACTTCAGACACAGGCGCAGCACCGTGCCATCCGAGCAGGACAAAACAAAGCACTTGTGGCCGAGCTAAATTGACCTTGTGCCATAACACTTGCGTCTTACTAAGGTCACTGCTGGGAGGCCGCCAGGACCGCGTGCCTCTCAAGCGTTGTTTGCGCTGCCAGACCTTGTCCCCCAAAACCCATGAGCGGCGAGCCTTGGGGACGGGGGCAGGCGGCTCCTGACGGCTACGCGTGGCCTGCGAAAGGCCACGCCGAGGCCACAACGGGAGCAAACTGGCAGCGAGCACACACACGCACACACACACACACACACACACACACACACACACACACACACACACACACACACACACACACACACACACACACACACACACACACACACACACACACACACACACACACACGCACACACACACACACACACACACACACACACACACACACACACACACACACACACACACACACACACACACACACACACACACACACACACTTTTTTCGCGCGTTCGAGACACTCAACCTGCTCGGGGCTTGGCTTCTCGTGAACCGGCGCCCCTGGCTTAGCATAATGCTCGGCCAGGTCAGTGCCAGCCTTGCAGAAGTGAAGGTGAGGTTCTCCTTCGGCCAGCTCGGCCGACATGTGGTCCCTGACCTTGTGCATCTGGCTACTCTTGGTGTCAGCGGTCCAAGAGGACATCCTCTAATGAACCCTACGAAAGGGAAGCTGCTCCCTGCCGAATGAGGCCCACACCTCAAAAGCATGCTGGCAGTCGCTGAAACCTTCTGAACCCTCCAGAGAATTCTGGGAAGTT